AGTTAACTCAAAAAATATTTTAAAAAATATAAATAGTAAACTTTAATATAATGAAACTCTTAGTTAACAAAATTTTCACAATTAATGAACTTTAATATAATGAAACTCTTAATTAACAAAATTTTTAAGAATAAAATTTAATTGAATGAAGCTACTAGTTCACTGTCTAAATTTTTTACAAAACAGAGAACTACAAAAATATTAAAAATTTGAATTGAAAAAAATATTGAAAAAAAATAAACAGTGAAATCCAAAAATAGTGAAATTTAATAGAATGTAACTCATAATTCCCAAAATTTTTAATTTCAAATTTTGTTGTTTCAATGATGGTGAAATAAATCAGGTCATTTCACTATTTACTTTTTTTGCTTGATGTTGAAATATATAAAATTTTTAGGCAGTGAATTTTATCTAATTTTAGTGTCTCAGATAGTAAACATTTAACTTATTTCACAGTTTTGATTATTGAAATTGGAACTTAATTTTACCGCATTTATTTGGTGTTGAAATATACAAAATTTAAAAATAGTAAAATTCATTTAATTTTAATGTCTTAGACACTAAAAATTCAACTTATTTACTAAAACATAATTAATGACATGAAAATTGTATATACCAAAAAAAGTGAACTTAAAATTAGTGAAAACAGTAAATTCAATAATAATAAAAAAATAGTAANCATCGCTCACCACCACCCACCATTGCCACCCATTTTCGCCAATCACCACTATAACCCAAAATGGTGAAAAACTAGTGAAGTCACAAATATNTCCACTGCCACCATCACCCAACACCATTGTCGCATCCCTCACCACCACCAGCTGAAACCAACCACCAACCATCACCCCTACGCCCACCCACTACTACTACCCATTGTTGTCACCTGTCATCACCAATCGTTGTTGCCAACCACACACCAGCATCGCTCACCACCACCCACCATTGCCACCCATTTTCGCCAATCACCACTATAACCTAAAATGGTGAAAAGCTAGAGNCCTAAAATAGTTTTAAATCTAAGATTTATTAAAATAAATAAATTAAAAATAAAAGAATCATTGGAAAACAAAATCTATAATACAAATAATTCATTAAATTCATAAATTTTTTATTGTAATTAAATTTTTTTTGAATAAATGAGAGTTAAAACATTTGACACGTCGTTAAAACTCTATATTTGTATTTGTATTATAGAGTTAAATCTAAAATATAAGTNAGAAGTCACAAATATTGAAAAAAATATAAACAATGAACTTTAATTTAATGAAACTCTTAATTCACAAAATAGTAAAAAATCAGTCCATCATCCACCATCGCCACCAACCACCTCCAATCACCACCTAAAATAGTGAAAAACTAACCCACCATTACCACCACCATCACTATTACCTCCACCTATCATTTTCGCCAACGAACACCAACCACCACTAGCCACAACCCACCCTTGCCCACTGCCACCATCACCGCCGACTACCATTCAAAACACTGAAAAAACTAGTTAACTCAAAAAATATTTTAAAAAATATAAATAGTAAACTTTAATATAATGAAACTCTTAGTTAACAAAATTTTCACAATTAGTGAACTTTAATATAATGAAACTCTTAATTAACAAAATTTTTACAAAGAATAAAATTTAATTGAATGAAGCTCCTAATTCACTGTCTAAATTTTTTACAAAATAGAGAACTACAAAAATATTAAAAATTTGAATTGAAAAAAATATTGAAAAAAAATAAACAGTGAAATCCAAAAATAGTGAAATTTAATAGAATGTAACTCATAATTCCCAAAATTTTTAATTTCAAATTTTGTTGTTTCAATGATGGTGAAATAAATCAGGTCATTTCACTATTTACTTTTTTTGCTTGATGTTGAAATATATAAAATTTTTAGGCAGTGAATTTTATCTAATTTTAGTGTCTCAGATAGTAAACATTTAACTTATTTCACAGTTTTGATTATTGAAATTGGAACTTAATTTTACCGCATTTATTTGGTGTTGAAATATACAAAATTTAAAAATAGTAAAATTCATTTAATTTTAATGTCTTAGACACTAAAAATTCAACTTATTTACTAAAACATAATTAATGACATGAAAATTGTATATACCAAAAAAAGTGAACTTAAAATTAGTGAAAACAGTAAATTCAATAATAATAAAAAAATAGTAAACTCAAAAATATTAAACTCAAAAACAATAAAAAATTAGTGAACGTAAAAATAGAAATAAATTAGTGAACACAAAACAAGTGAAAAATTATTTCAAAAACACTTAAACATAGTGAAAATAGTGAAAAATTGTTGAATTCAAAAATATTGAAAAATAGTTGACCATAACGTATTACCCCAAATTCAATCAAAACAATAAAAAATAGTCATATTTAGATAAATTGACCTAAAATAGTTTTAAATCTAAGATTTATTAAAATAAATAAATTAAAAATAAAAGAATCATTGGAAAACAAAATCTATAATACAAATAATTCATTAAATTCATAAATTTTTTATTGTAATTAAATTTTTTTTGAATAAATGAGAGTTAAAACATTTGACACGTCGTTAAAACTCTATATTTGTATTTGTATTATAGAGTTAAATCTAAAATATAAGTAAATTCATTCCATAGTAGCAGCATCTTGCCCCAACAGAGCTAGCATCATTAAAGAAAGAACAATATCAAGTCAAGAGCATCATCAAATAAGAACATTTAAGCACCAATCCCGCAGCTGAAGTTACTCCAATAGCAACACAAACAAAGTTCAATGATGATAAAATATTTGCTTAGGCAAAGCCCAAGCTCTCTTTGGTCTTAGTCAATGATTGGTACTCTGTAATGGTCAAATTTTTCATGGAAGGGGTGGATTCAAGTTTAGGACTCTATAAATCGCACTTGGAAGCTGAGAGTCGAAGCTTTGATGAAATTGTAAAAGTCGTTGAGGTCCAGAATATGTTTCAGTGTGAGCCAATTCAGGAAAATAAATGACTCGCAACCCATTGGAGATCCAATGATTGTCGCTGGAAATTCTCTAGTCCGTGGTGGAGAAACAACTCCAGTTGTGAAAATGGAGGTCGAGACGGTGGCGAGAGATAAAAATGGATTGTGTTCTGCTGCTACAGGTCATGGGGGGAAGGACGGGAAGGGGAAGGGGAAGGGGAAGAGAGAGAAAGGGTGCTTGAGATGTGTTTGGATACCGAGCACACGATTTGGAAGATAGATANAAAAATATAAACAATGAACTTTAATTTAATGAAACTCTTAATTCACAAAATAGTAAAAAATCAGTCCATCATCCACCATCGCCACCAACCACCTCCAATCACCACCTAAAATAGTGAAAAACTAACCCACCATTACCACCACCATCACTATTACCTCCACCTATCATTTTCGCCAACGAACACCAACCACCACTAGCCACAACCCACCCTTGCCCACTGCCACCATCACCGCCGACTACCATTCAAAACACTGAAAAAACTAGTTAACTCAAAAAATATTTTAAAAAATATAAATAGTAAACTTTAATATAATGAAACTCTTAGTTAACAAAATTTTCACAATTAATGAACTTTAATATAATGAAACTCTTAATTAACAAAATTTTTAAGAATAAAATTTAATTGAATGAAGCTACTAGTTCACTGTCTAAATTTTTTACAAAACAGAGAACTACAAAAATATTAAAAATTTGAATTGAAAAAAATATTGAAAAAAAATAAACAGTGAAATCCAAAAATAGTGAAATTTAATAGAATGTAACTCATAATTCCCAAAATTTTTAATTTCAAATTTTGTTGTTTCAATGATGGTGAAATAAATCAGGTCATTTCACTATTTACTTTTTTTGCTTGATGTTGAAATATATAAAATTTTTAGGCAGTGAATTTTATCTAATTTTAGTGTCTCAGATAGTAAACATTTAACTTATTTCACAGTTTTGATTATTGAAATTGGAACTTAATTTTACCGCATTTATTTGGTGTTGAAATATACAAAATTTAAAAATAGTAAAATTCATTTAATTTTAATGTCTTAGACACTAAAAATTCAACTTATTTACTAAAACATAATTAATGACATGAAAATTGTATATACCAAAAAAAGTAAACTTAAAATTAGTGAAAACAGTAAATTCAATAATAATAAAAAAAAATAGTGAACTCAAAAATATTAAACTCAAAAACAATAAAAAATTAGTGAACGTAAAAATAGAAATAAATTAGTGAACACAAAACAAGTGAAAAATTATTTCAAAAACACTTAAACATAGTGAAAATAGTGAAAAATTGTTGAATTCAAAAATATTGAAAAATAGTTGACCATAACGTATTACCCCAAATTCAATCAAAACAATAAAAAATAGTCATATTTAGATAAATTGACCTAAAATAGTTTTAAATCTAAGATTTATTAAAATAAATAAATTAAAAATAAAAGAATCATTGGAAAACAAAATCTATAATACAAATAATTCATTAAATTCATAAATTTTTTATTGTAATTAAATTTTTTTTGAATAAATGAGAGTTAAAACATTTGACACGTCGTTAAAACTCTATATTTGTATTTGTATTATAGAGTTAAATCTAAAATATAAGTAAATTCATTCCATAGTAGCAGCATCTTGCCCCAACAGAGCTAGCATCATTAAAGAAAGAACAATATCAAGTCAAGAGCATCATCAAATAAGAACATTTAAGCACCAATCCCGCAGCTGAAGTTACTCCAATAGCAACACAAACAAAGTTCAATGATGATAAAATATTTGCTTAGGCAAAGCCCAAGCTCTCTTTGGTCTTAGTCAATGATTGGTACTCTGTAATGGTCAAATTTTTCATGGAAGGGGTGGATTCAAGTTTAGGACTCTATAAATCGCACTTGGAAGCTGAGAGTCGAAGCTTTGATGAAATTGTAAAAGTCGTTGAGGTCCAGAATATGTTTCAGTGTGAGCCAATTCAGGAAAATAAATGACTCGCAACCCATTGGAGATCCAATGATTGTCGCTGGAAATTCTCTAGTCCGTGGTGGAGAAACAACTCCAGTAGTGAAAATGGAGGTCGAGACGGTGGCGAGAGATAAAAATGGATTGTGTTCTGCTGCTACAGGTCATGGGGGGAAGGACAGGAAGGGGAAGGGGAAGGACAGGAAGGGGAAGAGAGAGAAAGGGTGCTTGAGATGTGTTTGGATACCGAGCACACGATTTGAAAGATAGATGAGTGGAGGGTACGGTGGTCATTTAAAAAATATTTAATTAAAATAGATTAGAAGACAAAAAAAATATTCACAGACTTATCCTTATAACCTTAAAAGTACTATGGCTGGATTTAATAACTTAAAAGACTATTCGAACAGACCTTTTCCCAATTTTTACTATTTTAAATTAAATTGATATAGCTTGGCCTTGTTTATGATATGTCTAACCTAAATTCATATTATAAGGGCATTCATGTAATTTCACAACCGAAAATCTATTTATTTTACAAGTATTGAAAGCGCTAAAGACGCTTAACGATTAAGTTTCAACCTTGAATCTCTTTCTCTCTCATCAACCGACTTAAATTTTTTACAGCTAAATTTGACGAAAACCAATAGGGAAATAAAAAGCACTGATACAGAAGTACCAAAAACTCCCAAACCCAAACCCTAATCCTACTCCCAATCTCGGCCTCCGAAGCCAACGTGCTTTTTTCCCTCCCCTACTACCCCCCTCCCTCTCTCTAATAATACACTCGGGCACGCCCACGCCCACGCTGTGCAATACCCTTCCAACAAGGTTCTGTTGTTATTTGATCGAACGATAGCTGCCGTCGGATCTGCTATTATTCAGATCTGGGACGATAGGCTCTAGATTCCGTCTGTACGCGCCCTGATCAGAACCACACGCGCCGAGATCTGACCCACACCAACATGGTCGTTCATGGCCTGCCATTGAAGCGGATGAAGAGGCGAGTCACGGCTGACCTGTTCGACTTCCTGACGTTCCCTCCATCCTGCTCCTCCGGCGAGTCTCCATTCCCCATCGGTCCCTTTAGGACCAGCGTGAAGGCATTTTTGTCAAAGCACGCGCTGTTGCAACCTCCGTCCTCACTTTTCCCTCACCTGCTGACGTGGCAGATCCTGTTTAAAGTCGGTGAACTCACCGACGGTCCGGACTCATTGCCGTCGGTGGTCTGCCTCGATGTTGTGGAAGAGGACGTCGTCAGATCTAGATCTGTCTATTGCGACCAGTGCCGTGTCGTTGGTGAGTTTCTTCACCGAGTCAACGACCGAGTTAGTTAACTCAGTGACGTAGCTCTAACCCAGTATATTAGGCGGGAAGTTGGGTAACTTTATTATTTCCACTCCCTTTTTTTTTTTTGTTCCCTTAATCTCAGTATTTGTTTCGATTGGTGTCTGGCATGGGACTCGTTTTATCTTAGAAAGACGTTAATTTTAGGCAGAATGTGTTAATTCAGTGCTGGTCTCCCACTTTATTTGGTTAAAGCAGTAACGATGCTATACAATAAAATATAGTTTTTTGACCTGAACAATAAGATTGCTTAAAAGCTGGTTTATGCTTTTTTCACGATCCTGATACGACAACGTTTTAATCTGTATGATTAATTATCCAACCATGTGGTCCTATTCCTCTTCCCTGGATTAACAATAACAATAAACAAATTAAATCCTGACTCTCAGTTTTATTGTAAATGAATAAATAAGATGTGGTAAACAGTGTGGTAGACGGTATAGGGGTGTAATATAGTGGGGGCAGAATTATTATGTTGGGGCGTGAGACCCAAGGCAGGATGGGGACGTGTAAAATCCGGATTTGACACGTGGCAACATGTGGAAGGTCCACTCTGTCTTTATCCTATTTAGCTCTTTGGTTGGGGACAGTAGCCGGATTCTTTTTTGCAATAATTTGTATTGCCGAATATGCCCCCAAAACCTGAACCTCAAATATATTTTTTAATTGTTAGCAAAATGAAATTTACCATTTAGTTGATTGGTATTTTTATATTACTAGAAATTCTGATTTTTGTTATTTATTGAATTTTTTGTTTGATTGTTGAAGGTTGGAGTGATAATCCGGTGTGTGCAAAGCGCTACCATTTTATAATCAAGGCATATGGTAATTCCATTGGTGGGCAAAACAAATCATGTGTTGGCTGTGGTGATGTCCTCCATTCATCTCAGTCAAGGTGAAGAGAACTACACATTTAATTTGTTCACTCCAAAGATGTTTATTTTTTTTCCTGCATATGTATGGATTGATCACATAGAGCAGGAGTGAGGGCAGGAGTGCAAAAGTGAAAAAATTCAAAAAATATTTAGAGCGGGAGCGCCTCAAGGGTGGAATGTTATATTTACATATATATGTATATTATATAAAAATTATTGAAAATTGATTTTAAAAAGTTAAATTTTATATACAAATATATTGTAAATGAGCAAAGAAAAATCTTGGTCAAAAAAAATAAACAAAAAAAAAAAAAAGAGTGAAATGTGAAGGGAAAGCCTTAAGGAAAAAGGGAAGAGAAAGCCATTGAAATGCCTTGGCTTTAGTCCCACATCGACAAATCAAGGAAAAAGAGAAGCTCCACATGCCTATAAAATGCAGTCAGTCCTTTATTCCTTCATTTAGCTTTCTCATTTGGTTTTACGCGTGGTTGCTGTGTGGAAAATCCTATAATCTAGAGTACAGTTGGTGGCAAAGTATTGGAGTACAGCCATACAGTACTAAGATAATTTGATTCATCTTTAAACTGCATGTCAAGTACTTGGATGTATGGTCTGTTGAGCCACATCAATCTTGTAGATAGCTAATGATAAAGCCCATATAAAGATGAATTTTGTGAAAATAGATGATGGACATAGTCATGATCAATGGTAAAAGAATGTGAGAGGAGATAGTACCTAGCAACTCATGCAATTCTTCATTTATAAAATTATGGAGACGGCATGCATACTTATTTGTCAAGAATTGAATTTGTCTCACAGGTCATGTGTGCCTTTTAAACTATAGTATGCTCACAATAATACATATATATACACACACACATGCCCTATGCTGTTCCAAGTTTCTCGTCTAAATTAGCCAGATCTCTGTTCATTTGTGGTGTTTGGAATTTGTACAATGCCAGCCTTCTGATATATGCAAGTTCTGCCATAATTGAATGTCATGCTACTAATACAAGGATAAGTTATTGATTTCCATTGTTCTCTTTCCCCTTTTCAGGTGCAAGTCATGCAACCATGTGATAACCACAGAAGATGTTGAAGACTGGATGCATAACCAGTTGGATGACACTTCTCATCTTTTACATGGTGTGGTCCATGCAAATGGTTATGGGCACCTTCTCAGAGTCAATGGAAGAGAAGGTGGCTCTAGGGTACTTTCTGGATGTAACATCATGGACTTCTGGGATCGGCTATGTATAATACTTGGAGTTAGGTAGGAATTCTTGATCCTAATTGTAGCACTACTAATTTGTTTACTGATGGAGTGTATTTATGAGACCCTTCTATCTGGCTGTTCTATTGTTGCTTCTAATAAGTTTATTGTGTTATTTGGTTTCTTGCCATTGGCCATTATGTTCTTCTCTCTGAGAGCAAGGTGCCTGGCGTCTTTTTGCTTTTTCTATTTTTTTTTTAAATTTCTTGACCCAATCTCTTTTGGCCTCTATGTTTCACACACAATTGAAAGTTCTTTCGTCACTGCCATAAGAGTTGAACTGTTTTAAAATTTGGTTGATTATCACTTTAGAGTGCATTTCCTCCGAGCAACTATTACATTTCCTGAAGTTTTTTCTTTCCACTTTTTTCTTTATGGGGTGGACCAATTTTTTGTGACATCCTTTAGCTGTGCTTCTGCCATCTGGAAAAAAAGATTAGCAAAATGTTCTTAAAAATGTGGAATGAATGTGCTTGTGGTTTCATAGTAATTGAGAATATCTGTCTTTAGTCTCTAGACATCAGTTCTTTTGAAAAAATTTGTTCCTGGGACCAAATTGACTGTCAACATCTGTCTTTTTTGAAATTTATGATGGTCTTCTCCCTCATTTTAAAGTTGATTTTCTTTTTTAAAATAGTAAAAATTGGAACCAAGGATAATATGACAATCTGTTTTGCCAATAAGGACATACGCAAACTTATTGGGTCATTAAGGATATATGATATGTAATATTTTGTAAGTAGATCAACTGTGCTCCTTTCTTTCATTTTATTTCCTATTTTTACCTTGAGCTGTTCACGCAGAATTTGTTACTAAATTTATGTGACTGTTGTATTGATTATATCTCTTTTCTCTCTCCTCTCACTTCTGTCTATTTTCTCTGTAACCTCTCTTCCTCACACACACACACACATACACACACGACCACCATAGTGACAGGAACAATGATATATCCATATTGACATAATAACACCTGCAATGATACATGTTTGTATTTATCACATGCACAATGTCATTCCCACTTTAAGATATCCCCACGACATGATCTTGACATGATTTTCACTTGCAAGGTCTGTGAAAGAAGGTTCTGTTGATTTTTTAAACCTTAGCAGAATTTGGATGATGAGAATGGATAGTAACAATGAAATTCATCGTCACTACCACTATTGCTGTCTAGTTCATGGAATCTGGACAGTGTCACTATATCACTGTGTCATTGTTATTGTCATTTGTGTCACTGTCTCACTGTGTCAATGTCATTGCCCATTTTGTAATATTGTTAATTATGTTATTAAGAGTAAATTAGTAATTGTAACTGCAATTGTCCTTAATGACTCAAAAGAATGGCACCTGGACTTAATGGCAAAAAAGATCGCTACAATGGACTAGCCTCCAAAAAGCCCTTTAAAATATTCCTTGGTTATTGTGTCAATGGATTTTATGAGTTTCAAGTTTTGCTGAAGTGAATTAAACCAGAGACTTGTCTTTTTCCCTTTCACGTGTGAACAGGAAGGTTAGTGTGATGGATGTGTCAAAAAAGTATGGGTTGGAGTTTCGGCTACTTCATGCCATCACCAAAGGTCATACATGGTATGGTGATTGGGGTTATGAGTTTGGTGCTGGCAGTTTTGCTCTAACCCAAGATGACTATAAAACAGCTGTTTCAAGCCTTTCCGATCTGCCTTTGTCCCTCTTTTTGTCTCAGGGACGGAAACCCCGAACTCGGCTGCAGGATTTGATATCATTTTATCAGTCCTTATCGGAGCACGGGCTTGTTAATGTCAGAGATCTCTTCTGTTTCCTGATGACTTTGATTCATGATTCCCACAAATATCCGTTAAGTACTGATGATGCCATCTGCAAAAAGCGTCGATCTTCTGTTTCAAACATCTTGTGTGCATGGACCACCAGAGATATTGTACACGTAGAAGCAGCAATGGTTAGAGTATTACGGGCTGTTACCGGGCCTAACTGGGTGAGTTGGCGTGCTCTTAGGGGTGCTGTTTGCAAAGTGGCCCCTCCGGAGCTCTTGGATTACTGCCTCAAGGAACTCAAGGGGAAACAGGCTGTTGATGGAATGGTTATTAATGCTCGTTGTGCTCCAGATTCAGGTGCTATGGAGTACAGGTTAGTAGATTCTTTCTTATTATCTTCAAAAAGGGCGAAGAAGTCGGCAATCAAAGTGTACACTTGATCTTGATGGTTTAGGTTACCCTGCTGAAGTATTTGCTTAGTTGATTATATTTTATTGCTTTGTCTGGGACAAAACATGAAGACCTCGGAGATATGTTTTAATTAAATTCTCAGTATCATCCTTTTTTCGGTTTGTATGCATGCGTTCTTAACGCCAGTCACCAAGTTCACGCACTCCAAATTTACTGTAAATATGGATGATATGTGAAAATGTTTTTTTTTGAAGGTCATGCTATTTTTTTTCCCTCTTCAGTTATGTTTTTGTTTTTTGGGACAAACTTTGTCATGGCGTAGGTGCCACTATTTTCTTACTTGCTACATGATGCAGACTCGAGCCAGGAAGTGTGCCCCCCCTGGTTGGAAGTACGTCAAATGACATTCCGTCTGTTCCAAACTGCCCATCTGAAGAACACCTTGTGCGGGATCTGAGGTACTTGTACGAATTCTTGCTTCACCCTCAAACCATGCTAAGCAATGTTCCTCAGGCAACAAGGGATCTAGCAATCAGCTCAGCAACAAAGCTTCTCGATTGCAAGCAGTTTATGAAAGACTACCGGCCTGAAAACATGATACGTGGGTCAAACCCATTTATGATACAGCTCTCATGTGAGGTGGATGTCATGGACCACTGTGAAGAATATGCTGTGAATCCACCTTTCGAAATTATTATGTTATCCGCTAATGCTACCATTTCTGATATTAAGCTCGAAGCATCAAAGGCCTTTCAAGAAGTATATTTGATGTTTAGAAGATTTCAAGCAGAAGAGCTTTTTGGTTATGGCAGTGTTGATGAATCCACCCAAATCAGTCTTTTGCTAGGGTCAACCAAATTGGTCAAAGTTCGAGGGAGATGCCTTGGGAAAAATGGGTTATGTAAATTCAGAATGGAGAGGGGAGTTGAGAGATGGACAGTGGAGTGCAGTTGTGGGGCCAAAGACGATGATGGAGAGAGGATGCTGGCTTGTGATGCCTGCGGTGTGTGGCAACACACCAGATGTGCTGGGATTTTGGACTTTGATGCCGTTCCTGCTAGGTTTGTTTGTCACAAATGCTGGTGCACGGATCAAATGACAAAAGCTAATGGGCGCTGCATGGATGAGACAGTGGGTTCCAGTGGTGTGGGTGTGGCTTTGGGAAGATATTGAAAGAGTGTGATGTGCCCTGGGATTTTGAACTCTGTAAATGGCTTTCTTTCTTATATATTTTTTTTTTGGCTGGAGAGGTGTTCTCAGGTCTAAAGGAATGTGTATATATATAGACCGGGCCTTGATTTCATCGGCGCATTTCTAGTTGGTTTTCCCAATCATTAAGCTTTGTTGCTATTGTACATTACCTTTTTTTGCTAAATGTGTGGTTGCCAACCCAAACGGAAAAAATGAAAAAGGAACAAGAATGGATGGAGAAGAGGTTGGACAAACAGGAAATATGTGGTGATGCTGCATCAATTTGTTTGGTTGTCTTCGTTCATGTTGTCATCTTGTTGATATGTCAATTTTGTTATTGGTAGAATATATTTTTGATTTTTTGGATTTTGTTCGTTCTGCTCGGTTTGGAAACAGTACAGATTGGGCAACATAATGGGTGTGTTTGGATGGTGGATTAAAAAATAGGGCTCAAATCCAGTTCTAAGGAAGTTAGAGCCTGGACAAATAATAGGGAAATTTTTATAATAATATCAAAGGTTTGTGTTCGGTAACGACGACTTTTACAAAATACATGACAATACGATTTTTACAGTAACATCAATTTTTGAAATATTATATTTGTTAAGAGTATTAGGATATTATATGTAAATATTATAAGAGAGTGTATTTGTGTTTCTTAATTATTGTAAGTTAATTATAAATACAAGTGATATATGAGAGTTAGGTTAAGTTTTAACCTCTCTCTGTTCTTCTATAATATCATGTTAATTCTCTACATTTAACATAGTATCAGAGCAATTACAATCATAAATATATTCTGAACAAATTAACTGTGTTCGGTGGTACTGTTGATTGTGGTGGTACTGTTGTTGTGGTTGATCTTTGTGTTGTGGTGGTGTTGTCGCTGGTGTTGGTGGTTGTGTGATACTGTTATTGCAGTGGTCTTGGTCATTCGTCGTCGTTTTCTGTTCATCATGGTGGTGTGGCTGTGGTGGTGTGTTCGTCGTGATGGTGTACTGTTGTGGACGCCATTGTAGTGGTGTGGTGGTTGTGGTGGGCTGACATTCGTCGTGGTGGTGAGGCGCAGTCAAAGACCGGGGTTCACTGGAACCCTAATCAACGAAGAAGACAAGGTCCAGACCCCGATTCAACGGGTTTAAATTCTTTTAAGTTCAACCAATAAATCAGGTCCAACCCACTTCGGTTGAACCCAGTCTAATTCTGATCCAGCCCAATCAGATCAGGTCCAGCCCATGGTCTAACCTAGACCGGATCAATTCCGGTTTGATCCCGGTTCAACTGGTTTCTGCAATTCAGACCAGTTCATTTAGTGGTTACTCTGGTTCAATGGTCCTGTAAGTTTATGTGGCCTGATTTAGATAGTTTTGCACCAGTTCAGACCGGATCAATCAGTTTTACTCCAATTCAGCAGTCCAGCGAGTCTAATCTGTTCGGTTCAGTGGTCCAGCAAGTCTAGTCGGTCCGGTTCCGCGGTCCAGAGAGCCTAGCAAGTCCGGTTCATCGGTCCAGAAGGTTCAGCCTGCCTGGATCAGTATTGCAACCTAGCCGGTTTAGCATTTCAGCCTGTCCGATTCCTCTGGTTAAGCATTGCAACACTTTTTCTTTTCTACTATGGAACCCAAGCAAGATACCAGGTCCCTTACTCCATCTTTGTCGATTCCTACTCTTATCAATGGTCCTATGACCTCTGTTAAACTCAAAGAGACCAAGTNTTTGTTCGTTCTGCTCGGTTTGGAAACAGTACAGATTGGGCAACATAATGGGTGTGTTTGGATGGTGGATTAAAAAATAGGGCTCAAATCCAGTTCTAAGGAAGTTAGAGCCTGGACAAATAATAGGGAAATTTTTATAATAATATCAAAGGTTTGTGTTCGGTAACGACGACTTTTACAAAATACATGACAATACGATTTTTACAGTAACATCAATTTTTGAAATATTATATTTGTTAAGAGTATTAGGATATTATATGTAAATATTATAAGAGAGTGTATTTGTGTTTCTTAATTATTGTAAGTTAATTATAAATACAAGTGATATATGAGAGTTAGGTTAAATNTATTTGTTAAGAGTATTAGGATATTATATGTAAATATTATAAGAGAGTGTATTTGTCTTTCTTAATTATTGTAAGTTAATTATAAATACAAGTGATATATGAGAGTTAGGTTAAGTTTTAACCTCTCTCTGTTCTTCTATAATATCATGTTAATTCTCTACATTTAACATAGTATCAGAGCAATTACAATCATAAATATATTCTGAACAAATTAACTGTGTTCGGTGGTACTGTTGATTGTGGTGGTACTGTTGTTGTGGTTGATCTTTGTGTTGTGGTGGTGTTGTCGCTGGTGTTGGTGGTTGTGTGATACTGTTATTGCAGTGGTCTTGGTCATTCGTCGTCGTTTTCTGTTCATCATGGTGGTGTGGCTGTGGTGGTGTGTTCGTCGTGATGGTGTACTGTTGTGGACGCCATTGTAGTGGTGTGGTGGTTGTGGTGGGCTGACATTCGTCGTGGTGGTGAGGCGCAGTCAAAGACCGGGGTTCACTGGAACCCTAATCAACGAAGAAGACAAGGTCCAGACCCCGATTCAACGGGTTTAAATTCTTTTAAGTTCAACCAATAAATCAGGTCCAACCCACTTCGGTTGAACCCAGTCTAATTCTGATCCAGCCCAATCAGATCAGGTCCAGCCCATGGTCTAACCTAGACCGGATCAATTCCGGTTTGATCCCGGTTCAACTGGTTTCTGCAATTCAGACCAGTTCATTTAGTGGTTACTCTGGTTCAATGGTCCTGTAAGTTTATGTGGCCTGATTTAGATAGTTTTGCACCAGTTCAGACCGGATCAATCAGTTTTACTCCAATTCAGCAGTCCAGCGAGTCTAATCTGTTCGGTTCAGTGGTCCAGCAAGTCTAGTCGGTCCGGTTCCGCGGTCCAGAGAGCCTAGCAAGTCCGGTTCATCGGTCCAGAAGGTTCAGCCTGCCTGGATCAGTATTGCAACCTAGCCGGTTTAGCATTTCAGCCTGTCCGATTCCTCTGGTTAAGCATTGCAACACTTTTTCTTTGCTACTATGGAACCCAAGCAAGATACCAGGTCCCTTACTCCATCTTTGTCTATTCCTACTCTTATCAATGATCCTATGACCTCTGTTAAACTCAAAGAGACCAATTATACTTTATGGTCACAATCTGTTCAAGTCTTTTTTCGAGGCAAAGGATTTAAGAAATATTTGGTGGATCCTAAACCCAAGGAAGATACTCTTGGGTATGATCAGTGGGAACAAGAGGATGCTCAAATTATTTCTTTACTATTGAATAGAATTGAGCCTAGTATTGGTTCCACTCTGCTTTATCTTGACACTATCAAGGAGATATGAGATCACTTGGCCACTATGTATTTTGATACATGTAATTTTACATGAGCTTATGAGGTGTGCGAGTACTTCCGGCTGGAATAGAGTACTTTGAATATTGCAGATTATTATTCTCACATTTAGGGAGTTTGTGAGAAGATGAAGACCTACCATCAATTTACTACTGATGCATCAATTTGGTAGAAGCAACATGAGGACATGAATATTATTAGGTTTTTAGTAAGATTGAAACCCGAATATGAGGCTATTTGTTCTCAGATTTTGGGTGGTTCTAGTCTTCCTTCACTACTTAAGGTTTTCTTTCGTGTACAGCATGCTACTTTGTCTACTGCAGGCATTTCGCATGATGTCTCCACTGATCGCTCAGCTCTTGTGGTCCCTAGTAGCCACAGTGATGGTCCTTGAGGTGGTCGTGGTGGTCGAGGAGGTCGTACTAGTGGTCGTGGGGGCCGTAGTGGACCTCATTCCTGTACTCATTGTGGCTGTGGAGGGCATACTGTTGATTTCTGTTGCATGGAAAGCCTCCAAGTGCTGCGAATCAGGCTTCCTATCAGGATGACACCTCTGTTGTTGCTTCCATACCTCGGTCAGCTCCACCAGACACTGGGTTGGGTACTATTACATGAGAGGAGTATGCTTAACTTTGTTGTTTGACAAAGTTGATAGATATGGTTTTAATTTTTGTAAGGAGTTTTATAGGGAGTTAAATGTGGTTGATAGTGATTTGTAGGTGTTGCGAACTATTGTGCGTGGGAAGATTATTGATGTGACTCCTGCTATTATGGCTAAGATGATCAACTATGTTAGGGTTGAGCCTGATAAGATTGACTATCCCTATTCTACCTTCCAAACCAAGACTTTGATTCAGTATGCTGAGTTGATGTATAAGAGGCCTAATACTTTTACTGGGAAATTTAGGATAGGGGGCTTGATGGATAAGTACAGACTAGAAAACAAAGTCCTTCATTACAATGTTTATCTAAAGGGGTCGGAGAAGGAGCCAGGTGTGGTGAAGTTGGCCCTTTTTATATGAGTTTATGGTGGGCTCCCAATTCGATATAACATTGGATCCGGAATGTGATGAGGGAGTTTGTAGCCATGATGAAGCTGAAGGTGAACATGCCTTTTGCTCACATGGTGATGAGGATGTGTATCAAGGTTAATGTGAAGAAGAGTTCCAATGATGTGTTGTGACGCCCTTAAAACCGGGGGTCCCGTTGACCACCCATCAACCTGCGAAAATACCTGTAATTGTCGCATAACCCAACATCACGTCTATCACGTCTCTGTAATCGAGATTACAACTCATATGNGTTTTAACCTCTCTCTGTTCTTCTATAATATCATGTTAATTCTCTACATTTAACATAGTATCAGAGCAATTACAATCATAAATATATTCTGAACAAATTAACTGTGTTCGGTGGTACTGTTGATTGTGGTGGTACTGTTGTTGTGGTTGATCTTTGTGTTGTGGTGGTGTTGTCGCTGGTGTTGGTGGTTGTGTGGTACTGTTATTGCAGTGGTCTTGGTCATTCGTCGTCGTTTTCTGTTCATCATGGTGGTGTGGCTGTGGTGGTGTGTTCGTCGTGATGGTGTACTGTTGTGGACGCCATTGTAGTGGTGTGGTGGTTGTGGTGGGCTGACATTCGTCGTGGTGGTGAGGCGCAGTCAAAGACCGGGGTTCACTGGAACCCTAATCAACGAAGAAGACAAGGTCCAGACCCCGATTCAACGGGTTTAAATTCTTTTAAGTTCAACCAATAAATCAGGTCCAACCCACTTCGGTTGAACCCAGTCTAATTCTGATCCAGCCCAATCAGATCAGGTCCAGCCCATGGTCTAACCTAGACCGGATCAATTCCGGTTTGATCCCGGTTCAACTGGTTTCTGCAATTCAGACCAGTTCATTTAGTGGTTACTCTGGTTCAATGGTCCTGTAAGTTTATGTGGCCTGAT